ACATATTTTAAAAATAATGGATTCTTTGAGAAAAGCAAGAACGTTATTAATAAATTCTCGACGTCGGTCATCCCAGTTGCGGTCAGGCTCGAGTAAATGTACAAAACAGTCAAAATGTCAAACTTGCCCAAAAATTAATATCCCTCCGGCGATTCTGCCGGTAGGCGTCAACCCCATAACTCATCGCGCATCAGTTGGTTCTTGTCTCTTCCACTCCTTCTTCGGATTTTGGGCATGGCGTCTAAATAAATGAGCCGGTTAATGCCTAATTCGTCGGAGTGCACGACTGCAATTAACACTCGGCCATTTTAGGAGGGGCAAACCCTGGCGACGCGGGTTTTGTTCCATGCAAAGGTGTGCCGTACCACTAGATTTCGCAAGACAACGCATAGCCAAACTCCTAGAATCCTACGACGCGGACGCTCCCGCAGTTACTTTGCTCAACCTCATAGGCCTCTGCTTAGAAACTTATTTTTCGTTTAACCAATGTTATCAGCAAGTAAAAGGAGCCCCAGTTAAATCACCTACATCCAGTTTCCTTACCGAAGTAACAGTACAGAAACAAGAACCGAATATATATAGATATATAGTATTTCACCATAAAGTATTTATAGGGGAGTGACAAATATGTTAACACGGCGTTAATTATACTGCGGATTCGTTAATCGGCTTTGGCGCTAATCGTCACATACGCACCCGGATCGTCTCTTTAATCGCCGGGGTAGATGGGGAGGGGGGATGACCTCTGTTAACCTGCCTGTCTCTCGTCGTGGGGCGACGTTCGTACGCTGATGTTCACCGTCCGTATTCTTGGGAATTCGAACATGGGAGAATCTGCGACGGACACGCACGTAGCCACACCACGATTCTGGCCCGACGAAATCGCTGTCATCAGTACTGCGGACTCAAAAAGCTATTCCGACAAGCGGTGAGAAATGCGGCGAGGGAGGTACAAGCAAGACTATCGACCCAGGATCGCAACTTATGATTACGCGAATGCGGGTGATGGCCACCAACGTTCAAATGTCGGTCCTCCGATGAGAGACAGGCAGGTTGACAGCAGTCACTTCCTTCCCCCAATGCATATACGGGCGGTTAGCGCAAAATCCGATTAACGACTTCCCCGTATAATTGACGTCGTGTTGACATGGCTGTCAGTCCCCTACATAAACTTTCTGAGGCGGTGAAATAATCGCCCCACAGGATAGAACCTTGTTTACTTCTGAAACATGAGGACAATACAATTATTTATCTCGAACTTGTCTCTTTTCATATATATGTAAAAAGCAGGTTTCTAGAGCCGCAAATAAATAATTATTTGTTTCTTAATAAGTTGCTTCGTGGCCTCGCGAAATGCAGGCGAACATAGTGGGGCGGCCGATTTCCCGACTACAATTCAGAAACTTCTCTGCAAATCAGGGGATGAAGGCAGCTTTTCATTCGTCTAGCAGTTCACCTTCGTCCATGCACTTTGGAATTGTCGTTGATACCGAGCCGGACACTACATCGGCCAGTTCCCGACTGGTGTGTGGATGAATTAAATCTAAGCAAAGAGACTTTATGTGTATAATTGGAATAATCCTACCCTTGTATATATATGTGGGTAGTAATTAGCATGTTTTAGCGCAGGCGATGCAGTCTTGTCGCTGTCAAAATTGGAAATGGAGGAGGGGGACTTTCATCGTTGAGTGCCAACAGAAAGAAAGTAGAGAAAATTTATGCCTGTGCTTGGTCATCCGCCTCCAATGCCCCGATATGCGACATCAGCGTTCGAAAAGTGTCATGAATTCTTCAGTTACTGCGTATGCATCCGAAAGTGGTCCTGGCATGTTCCATCGCGTTTCGAATATGCCGACCTCATAGTTTTTCCAAAGCCTACTAGCCACCGGTCAGCAACCACCCAAATGTTGTCTGTACTCCCCCAAGTATTCGATAGTTCTACAGTAACGAACGCTTCCATGTTATATTCCTCCATTCAAGGACGGTTTGAAATTCCCAGTTTATACACATCAGAGGATTATGGGATTTCTTTAGTTTAAGTGGATAATTTAGATTAATAATTCCCTCCAACAGCGAACTGAGCGCACGCTAGCATCCACTGACCGCTCCCCGGATGTGATTGTCCACGTTATCACCGAGACTTATATTGCATGTCGGAGAATGAGCAGTAATAAAGCGTATTATGAAGTACCCCTTAGGGTACTATCAAAGCAGATAAGATAAATTTTCATATGAATTTTAAAAAGAGTAGACAAACTCGGTAAGCCTTTAATTTAGGATTATGAAAAACAGTTAGCGAGATGTGAAAAAAACCCCTGTTTCGAAAAAAGACAAAATTAATTTGAATTAACCAGCCTATGATGAGAAAAAAGCAGTCGTTCATAAAAGGATAAGTATGCGGGTTGGACAGGGCTGACCTTCATATTTCAGCGTATAATGTACGCAAAATGGACATCGTCATGCCAGAATTCCTAAACCGGATGAGGCTATACGCCTCAAAGTTGCGAGACGAGAGGAAACCATACGCGGTCGGTCACAGTCCCTTTAGATGCCAGACGAGGAACGGAAATTAAAGGTTGAGGTGATCGTTAAGACGTGCAGGGAAGATGCGAACAAACTAGTAGCGAATTGCGAATACAGAGGATTATACCATGATATTCGACGAAATGCTTGTGGTCAAATTGGGGAGCTGACATCAAGAACCGCAAAAATCAGCGACTGGGGTGGGAGTTCGAATTCTCAGAGGGAGGAGTTGATTCCTGACGAGGGTCAGCGATTGGCGAAAGGGAGGCGGCTTAGGACGTGTACATCAAACTGGCTTCCCTACTTCTCTGATACGATTCGTTATGAAGGAGTCGCATTCCGTGATTGGCACAATTCGGGTGCTGCAAAGTCGAAAATATCGAAATTTCTTATGAGAAGTCACAGAAAGCAAAACCGAACACCGAGAAGGAAATGTGAGCGGATAAGGTAATTTGGTAGTGACGTCCTTAATTCTCGACGGCAATGTTCGGCCGTTGATTTAGTGAATGAATATACGTATTTGAGGTCATCAGCATAAATAAAGGATGCGAATGTTTGACTACCGACGCAAAGTCGTTAATGTAAGCTAAAAACAAAAGAGGGTTTAAAACTGTACCTTCTACGACACCACTAACAATTGGGCTCTCATGGGAAAATTAAGATCCCAGTAATACCCTTTGTCTGCGATTATACAGGAATGGCCTAATGAAGTCAACAAGAGGAATGAGAACTTCCAGAGCTTCTTATTTAACTTAGGCTCTTTTGTACGGCACAGATAAATGACCCCTACGAGTGGAAGTAAGAAGATTGAGAAAGGACACGTGACACGTTTCACGCGAGCGATAGGGTATAATGCCATTTTGGGAAGAGCTTATAGCAGATTGGGCTATGCGAATGTCGGAAAAATTTGTGGTTATAATTTTTTTCAAAAAAAACTGTCGAGAGAATGTGTTATACGGACACCTCGATAATTTTGAACATCAGGCGACAGGCAAATTTAAAAAGTGGAATGATAATAAAAGTTATCCAACAGCGAGGAGAAAAATCATTCTCCGCAAAGGCTGAAAAGAGTTTGCTAAGCAGAGGGGGAAAACTTTTAGCTGTGTAATAAGGAAGTTCTTGATATTTTCAGTTCCTACTAGGTGTAAGTTAGAAAGCTGGCCTATCAGCTTCTAAATTTTCCAAGAAACGAAATTAAGCGTGGCGAGTGCAGCATCAGACAGCGGAGGAATTTTAGGAATGAGGTCAGTTTCAATGGCGAAATGTTTGGCAACGAATGACTCTATCAATCCCGCTTTCCTTACTTATCTGAAAACAAAATATTTCTGAGAATAAGCAAGGATGGAAGGACTTGATGGGACATGCTGATGATCTTTGTGGAAGACCTGAGCAACAGATCTAGAAGCATTCACGACACTAATATCATCAGACTCCCTGCGCTTGTCCCGCGTGAGGCCTCATTTTCGAAGCTAATTAACATATTTAAATGGTTCTTAGGTAACATGACGATGAGCTTACGAAGGGATCTCTACGTCACTTCCGTAGCCTTTTAGGTCTGTTTTTAAGAAAATGTGTGATAGTTGCAGAAGTGGCATTCGATTTAGACTTTCTCGTGTGTAATGAGTTCTAGAAAGACTATGTGACTTTGCAACTTTAAGACCAGTGATTCCTGTGTATTGATGTCTGCATTCACTTAATGCTCTAATTTTTTCCCATTTATGCTTATTAACTCGATTTTTTGTACACAAATAGGGAGTTCAAATGCGTAAGCGTGTTGCTCTGAAATACACACACAGATTGACAGAGGACTTCCTTAACGCATTGAAATAAATCACAGCGAAAATTTGGGTCGATATTTAAAAATATTGTGCGAATCGAGAATGCTTGTAAAGTTATTTGCTAATTCTCTGTTAAAACTACGTTTTACAACTGGCTCTGTAGAAGTGGAGACCGTAAGACGGCAATGAATTAGTGCATAATCAATCCCAAAAAGGTCGAAATAAAAGGAGTTTGTCATTACGAAAAGTTAAATCTTATGTACTGTCGTTTCCGGCTGAAGAGTGGCCAGTTCAGACCAGTTTGAATCTTCTGAGATTTAGGAGAGGCAGTGTGTTTATCAGTCAATTTCTGGCAAAGTAAAACTACCTGCAGCTGTTTTAACTTCGAATTTAGTCTCTGCGACGTTTTCGAAGTGTTCACAGGGTTGGTTTTCATTTTCGGAGTAAAAAGGGTGATTATATGCACACTCAACCAAGGCCTTCCTATTTTTCGAAAAAATTCCCGAAAGGAAACAGATTTCCAGAAAAGGCAAAAATGCTAAAGTCATATGGCGAATACACAAGCACCCGTTCTGTTACACTGGACGCACTGTTCTTGCGAATTATTGATGAAAACGGGCGCTCAATCTGTTCCTTTTGTTATTTATCTCCGATCTCTGATTATTTCAAGGTCTTCCACAAAATCTGCTTTGGCAAAAAATGGCCGGTAGCCCCGTTGCGTGCAATGACGAAAGCATGGAAGTCGAGGATGAATTTATTTCAATTAAGAAGCACTCGCTGTACGTCAGTTATTTTTGTTGAATTAATTTTACGTTATTTGTTATTGCTTACTCACTTTGAGAGCCGTGCATTTGAGTTGCAATTAAAACTTTCCTGCACGTCACGCAGTTTTTTTTTCAGTTAATACGAATATTCATCAATTAAGGTGTGGGAAAGTTTACACGGCAAATTTTAAGAATGCCTAATATGTTAGGTGTCCTTTTAACGAATGTTTGAATTGGGTCTGCACATAAATGCCTGTGTGTATATATACAAGCAAACATTTTTGTGATAGCTCTGATTACATATGTAATAATCATATCATGAGGACCGTAATTGCTGATAGGATATTCTCAAACAGCCCTGGTTAGTAAGTGAACAACAGTCCAAAGAATCAGTTGGTATGCCCGCGATCACATACTGATGATGAACCGCCAACTAGTACGCTCAGTTCTTCTGACCTTTAAGCGCCCGCACTCACTAGGAGTCGATTCATGCTTATGTTGCGTAGATGAGCTTCCTCGCTTTAAGAGCTGAATCCCGTGGTGGAGAGAGTCAAGCGTATCGCCTATGCGCAAACTTGTCTTGTGAGCGACATTTTGTCTTCCTACTGGCCGCTCTTGATCGGCACGTGAATTTATTGAGAAGCATTCGATTGTACGTACCTGGTTCATAAACTTTGTTTTCTGCTAACTCACCTGTTGCTATGCTATCTGTCCCATGGCTTCTCTGGGCTGAGTAACTATCTGAGGCATAATCCCGAACATTTATCTCCTTGTAAATCCATGATTTGCTAGTGCCACTGAATTTTTGGATCTGATATGTCCGAGTCCTTCACAGCGGGCTGTATATTAACTTCGAAACGTAGGTCATGTTGATCACTACATGCTAGTACTTGCGGACTCTTACTGCGCATGTAAATACAACCTTGACTTGTTGAATTTGTAAGATTCAGACCTAACCTTGCCCACCTTTCCGACTTTCATTTTCTTTATCAGAACGCCTGCGTTTAATCGGCTCGTCTTAATCTATACAGTGGTGTTTCTGACAATTCTTCTTGGTATGATGTTTACCAACTCTTCCAGATTACTTAGCGAATGATCACTCTGCACTACAGGAGACAGATAATAACATAGTAAGTAAAAGATGATCACATGACAAGCTAATTTGACTGTATTCTTGTCTTAGTGTGCTGGGCTATCCCGTGTTCGATCCCTTCTCGATAAGTTGTTTCGAGGCGGATAAAAGGCACGGCTCTAACGTGCTCTTAATTATCGTCTGCCACTGAAATTGCGTGTAGCCGTGTTGGAACATTCTGCAGGACAGCACTTCTGTTTGATTCCCGCGGAATTTCTTTGGCTCTTTTCCTTTCGCTTTCCCGCTTTTTTACAGATAACAGTGGTCTGTAATTCGAATATCTTGAAAGTAATTGCGACATAATAATGCGCACTTTCCAAAGTATCTCACAGGAGTTGCGAGGCTTAGATCCGGACGTGTCCGCTATTATTTGATCTCTGGCAAGATATCCCCGTTTACCTGTAGCGTCAAAACACCTGCTTTCTATGCCCTGGACAATACGACAGCTGCCAATCCTAAAGACTGTCTGAACCTTCGAGACCAATTCAGCTGACGAAGTCACTCAGCCTGTTATTACTTTCGAACATGACAGCGAGCACTGCAGACGTCTTCTCGGTCACTCATCCACAGTCTGCGAAGGCACAAGCCAATTTGATTAAATAGACGTAAATGTCTGCTTTGATCGTCAGGCCTCCCTACACAAGACGGCCAAGGCAGTGCGACAATTTTCCATCGGAAAAGCACTGGGTTGCGACTCGGTCCCATCGAAATTTCACAAATACGGCTGCCCTTAACTGACGGACATGCTTACTTCACCGTTCCAGATTTTGAAACAAGGAGGAATTCTGCAACACTTCAAAGATTCAACTTTCGTTTATCGGTGTAAATGTCAGGGAGACTGTCAACTCTTTGATAAACACGTATACATTTCTCTTCTCCAACATTGCGGGTAAAATCTCCGTCCCAGTCTTATTCAATCGCTTGGACGCGCATGGACTTCTTCCGGAAATACCATCCAGTGTTAAGAATACCACAGTGACTCTGTCATTATTTTTGCGGCACGGTAACTCGCGGTGAACTCTAGAGAATCTTGCTGGAGTTCGGGGCAATTAACACAACCTGTAAGACAAATTTATGACAGTATGGTGCGTATCAAGTACAAAGGGGCAGTTTCTGAAACATTCGGGGTGAAGGAGATATGTACCCACTATCACCGTCTCCGGCCTAGTTTTTCGCCACGAAGGTAGACGTCTACCGCGAGGGACGGCCAAAAGTCACTCTTCGGTCAGCTTGACTCAGACAATAAGCTTTCTGTGTATTTGAGATGGGGAAGAGTGAAGCTGTTGTTGGAGGATCTACACTCGCGACAAATCAACGCGTTTCCCACTATGGTAAATCTATTACGCATGAATATATTACAACCTGCCAGCTGTCATGTCTAGGAAGGTTCTTAACTGACGGGTAACTCGGTCCATCTCAGGATTTGGGTCAGGTCTCGATGGCCTCATCCTGGTACGACCTTTGTTTCTTTTTAAAATATATGCGATATAAGATCCTGCACTAAGTGGGGTCTGGGTCGGTGATCAGGTCGCGTATGGCACGCTTAGACGCGCTGTTTGACTTTGTCGGCCACATGCGGTCATCTTGACCTTGTTTTACCATCGGTAGGTGTGGGAAGAAAAATATGCAAAACGGAACTTTCGGAAAGAAGTTCTACTTGTCATCTCCAGGCCACGTAGAATTGCCCCTCTCCTCTTTCGTGGATCGAGGCGGCTGAGTATTTTGTCGACCTCGGACCATTGTCAGCAGAATATCTTCAGTTCAACCGTCGCGGACAACGATGCCTACCGCGTGTTCTACAACATGATGGGCGCAGGACGGTAACTTGCGCGTAAATTACTCTAGTAATGACAGCAGATTTGGGCAGCGTCTGTTGCACTCTCTCCTAAACTCGTTTCAGTCAGGACGACCGGAGGCGAGATCGGGCGCGTGGCTGATAAAGCTGAACAGCCCGTCCACGTGTGCCACGCGTGCCACGCACGCCTTGTCCGCGGACGATGGGCCAGGTTTTCACTGAAACAAGGGGCGGTTCGGATCCTATCTGTGCTGGAGCGCCATAGAGGCCGCGTGAAGAAGGAGCTATTGCAGTCTGACTCTCCGTCCTGAGAGGAGGACCGAGTTATCCTGGCTGTTGGCAGCCTTCTAAGCCATGACTTTTAGCGCAGCACGGCAGTTCAAAAGTGCATCGAATTGTTTATAGTTAAAAATGCGATGATTTGCCATTAGGACGTAGTCTCCAGAGTCGACCTCACTGTCTCTTCTCGCAGTCCGCGGCCTACTGCCCGAGCCTATCAGTAATTTGATGCTGGGATTAAGCACAAATGGCCTGCGCGGCGTTGGGTCTGCGCCAGGGCGTGCAACCACAGCCCGTCGTGTGTGGCATTATGGGATGCACGGACCTTGTGGAGCCCGACTAAAGGGTGCCATAGTGGTCCAGCTTATCCACCACGTGACCCATTGTAGGGAGGATATGACACCGTATACAACTAGCGCCGAACATTTTCTGTGGGCTTTGGGAGTGTGTGGTCTCTCCGCGAAGCTCAACAACAGGTAGTACTTCTGCAGTCTGGTTGCGAAACTTGGCCACCACGCACTGCTGACTTGAGGAGGGTTGAGGTGCTTTCTGCGAATACTATTACAGTCTTTGATTCATAGATAAATTATCAAACGGAGAACTCAATCGTCGTTTAGGGACATCTGCTCATCATGCATAAATGGTCGCCGCCTCAGAGGGTTCGATCAGGCACTCTCTTAATCCGTGTTGGGACTCATCCGTGATGTCATTTGTTTATGGTCCTGTCCGAGTATTCATCACCTCGCTGGGGACAACTAAAATAGTGGGCAGATGTGATTAAAGCAGGCCTGGAGAGATTGCTGGACCCCAATGTTTTCGCCGTTTATGAATGAAACGCCAACTTGCCAATGAGTTCTGAGGACTCGCCAGACGGTCGCAGAGTATTGGCCGAACGAATTTGTGATCCTGTGGACTCTGGTGCCAGCCTAACTAACATTGGTGTTTGCTACTGCAAATGCGAAGTATTAGCAGCCACAGTTTCACATAAGACAACGGCGATACAGTCAACCCCTCCCAAACAGCTTGCTAACTTTGTAACCTTACATGAGCTGTTATTCCGTGGCCTGAGGCACAGAGTAGGTAGTGTCATTTCGTTTCCAGGTTGTTTTCTATCGTGAACTTGATAAGCGCAAAAAAGAATGTGCTGTACTTGTTTAGAGATGAACCCCCTCCAAATTTATCCCTGTGTTACGCACTTCTCCCATCAAACTTCTCATTTCACCCACCCAATTTCAGCTGGCAACCTCCATTCAAGCTTCGAGATTGTTCTTTTGAATATCTCAAAGACTCTCCGGTGCCCTACTCCCTGCTTCACAAGCCTTACAAACAAAAGAAACTGAAGTACACACCCGAAGAAGAACAAAAAATCTGGTCTCTGCTCGGAACTCTCAATAATCTCGATGATAAGCCTACGTCGACCGCAACCGTTCAAGATACATCAACTTCTGAAACAGTATATTCGTTATGAGTGTGTCCTCTCTACTCTTCCGAAATTTTAGAATCTCTTCTATGCCCAGTCTGTGCCTGCTCTACAGTCCATGCGTGAAGTTAAACGCGAACGCCGGGTAACTTTTTGGTTATGTAGCTTACTCTGCCAATAAGTCAGTCTGGAGTGTTTTTGATCCAAAGCAGTCCACTTGGACGTCTTCTTTCGCCTCTCACGCTTATCGAAGGGGCGGTGTTCACAATCTGACCTTTCAAGCTTGGGATCTTGAGACTTTCATCTGCTTTTATTCTGTTCCGTATACCAGTCAAGGCCTTTGGATTAATATACAGTAGTTGGGAATGCAATGAGTCGTCAAGGTTGAGATGCGACATTTGACAGTTTTTATCACGATCTACATATTAACCTACGGAACTTCCTCCAATCCTCATCAACGTGGTTCTCCCACGGCACTGGCAGTACACTGACTTCCTCCCATGGTGCGACGGCCGGAGCTCTTCTTGAAGAAGGAGACACGACCGCTGGGACAAGAGCTTTATTCGCCTGACGTTTCGGATTGTCAGACGAGTAAGGTTATTATCCCAACGATCGTGTCTCCTTCACGACTGCTTCCTGGGGCTCGTCTCTCAGCCTCTATTGTCCATCCGATCTATTGTAACGCCTTAAGCACCCAGAGGAAAGTCCTTCCCATTTTCTCCACATGTAAGATTGCCTTTGAACGCGCTGAAACCGTTCACGGTGTTTTGTCCTCATGTTGAGGGTAGCTGCAGACTTCTCCACCCATCAACGTGGCCTTGCATCTCGCAGTTTTACGATTCTGCAAATAATTCTGTATGGAGTAATCTGGGACATTTTTCTAGAAAAAGCACTTATTTGGGTGCCTCGTATTTCTCCGATGTCCTACATACCTGCCGAAGGGTCTTTCAACAAAAGTTTTTTTCTTCCTTTTCGATTCATCTTCGTTAACCTTCCAAGGCAAAGAAGAAGGCGCATTTGGAGAAGTGGTATGGCCTGCCAAAGGGAGAGCTGACTCCAGAAGTGAAAGCAGACTTGGAGCTCATCGCAAAGCGACAAATTCTCGGCCAGGATCTGCACACTCGGAAGGCTGACGGTCGTCACAGCCACTTCCAGGTAGGCCAAACGACGTGCCTGTGTCTAACTGGGTCCTGTTTAGCTTGCGAGAATGGCGATAACTACTGCTTACTCGCATCTATTCCTTTGATTTTTTTCTCCCAATACGCAGGTGGGTGTAGTGGCCGATGATCCCGGCTCCTTCTACGACCGCATACCGCGGAAGCAGCGGAAGAAAACCCTGGTTGACGAGTTGTTGGCTAATGCTGACTACATGAAGTAAGCTTCGTCTTTGATTTGGTTTCTTTCTATTACCAGATACTGCCTTTCCTACAACTTACCATGGTTATGTTGTTAGTCAAAGCCATCTGATTTTTATCTGCAAATCAAGCTAGTCATTTATGCCGTTTGGTCGACCCAGACTGTCGCCGCTCCTAGTGGTACAGACGGACCTCCGCCACCGCTATTCTCCTGCTGCCTGGAACTGGCGACTGTAACCAAAACCACAAACTAAACTAAGCAGAGGACTTGAAGAAGGAGACACCATCGCTGGGACAAGAGCTTTATTAGCCTGACGTTTCGGATTCCTGCTCGAACCCATCATCAGAGGCAAAAGCACAAGAGTCTGCAGTATTTATAGGATGCAGTCGCCATGCTACCACATACCGATGAATATTCACGGCTCCCCCCTTCAGCCGGGATCGTTGCACTTGGTGTGCTGACTGTTTGATGGCCGACATTCGCGTGGTTATTTGCTGCAATTTCATCACGTGCGTTGGATGTTGGTGTGATGATTGCTCGACCATCTGATCCACCGACCCTGGCGCTGGGAAAAGTGTTCACCTGTGAGCTCCTCGCGTGGCCAATTACTCCGCCTAGGCGAATTCTCAGCACCGGGTATGGAAGGGGAAGGTCATTGCACTTGTTAATGAACTGGGGGTAGTAACAGCGTGAGCCGGGAGCTGCCTGAGTCATGGTTTACTGGCCCCCAGTTCATTAACAAGTGCTATGATCTTTCCCCTTCATACCCGGTGCTGAGAATTCGCCTAGGCGGAGTAATTGGCCACGCGGGGAGCTCACAGGTGAACACTTTTCCCAGCGCCAGGGTCGGTGGATCAGATGGTCGAGCAATCATCACACCAACATCCAGCGCACGTGATGAAATCGCAGCAAATAACCACGCGAATGTCGGCCATCCTACAGTCAGCACACCAAGTGCAACGAACCCGGCTGAAGGGGGGGGGGCCGTGAATATTCATAGGAATGCGGTAGCATGGCGACTGCATCCTATAAATACTGCAGACTCTTGTGCTTTTGTCTCTGATGATGGGTTCGAGCAGGAATCCGAAACGTCAGGCTAATAAAGATCTTGTCCCAGCGATCGTGTCTCCTTCTTCAAGACTGCTTCCTGGGACTCGTCTCTTCGCTTCTATAAGCAGAGGACTTTTGCAGAGATCCTGACTTCGGTCACGTCTTCCCGTCAACATTCCCCATCTTGTGCACACACACCTTGATACACACTGCTGCCTTTCGCATGCCTTTGTAGTAGTAGTTATGGCAACCTAACTATCTTGATTTTAGGCTTTTACGACTTCAGTAATACAATCCACATGTTTCAGGAACTGAAAATACTATAGGTTCCGATCCTAACTTTACGAAGACAAGGTGGTGCTGTTTGTTCATGAGGTAGAAAATGCAGTCTACCTCCGAATGCCCACAGACTCAAGATGATCTGCTGTTTCAGTGGCACCATGGGACAAGGCTAAGTCGTGTCCAGCCCACTCATTACTCAGCCTGTAATTGCATTAAACATCGAGGCCTCATGTCACCCCACCGCGCAAATCGGAAAACTTAAAAGAATGGAAAATAACACAGTCATGGTGTCCCGTAGTGTTGCCTTTGTCTTCGCTTCCTCCTTGCAGAATCTACTGTGAATGTTCTAAAACAACTGCTGGCAAATTCGTCTCGCAGTTTACGATACATGCGTTTGGTCTCTGCTGTCTAACAGCAGTTAACATTCTCATGGCGGGAATAACGCACAAGACAGTCCGTACCTTTCATGCCGTTGGCTCGATTCGTCGTGTTACAGTCCACGGTACAACCACATGCCCTTTTCTTCACTTTGACTCACCTAAGTGATTGTGTGACGTCATCTTGCCGCATTGGGTAATCAATGAACCTCACTGAGAGTATTACCGACAGCGACAAGGGAAACTGCGGTGGCTCTTGTTGACTTGTTTGTATTCAACCACCACTAGGCCTGGAGCGCCCGCGTTCCGTATACCCGTAGTCAGGGTCAGACCGGTGAACACCGGTAATGTGAGTGTAACCTCTAGTTTTAGCCAGATTGGCACAACTCGAAGTCAGGGGCCTCCGACTGAGAGAGAGTTTGAACTCATGGATCACTGCATGATGTCTAGGGCCTATTAAGCAGCCCAATGGGGCAGACGCTGTGTAGGTCACTTAAAGGCTTATTTTTTGTACGAAAAGTTTATTTCGTCTTTGCCCCTTTACAGGAAACAGCGTCGGCAGTATTCACTCCTTCAGAAAGAGAAGTGGGAGAAGAAACTTGCGATACGCCGAAAACAGAAGCAGCAACAGCAGAAGTCGGCCAAACGCGCTGGCAAGACGAAAACAGTCAAGATAGCCGAATCCTAGCCGTGGATACCTCCATTCTGCCTATGGAGAATTTTGTAAATACACTTTCACTATTGCTAAATCGACTTCTTTCAGCGAGCCCTTTGGCCTCGAAGTTGACACTTCCGACAGCGTATTCATCATACTCATTTCCTTGGTCCATAGTGGTTCAGACGACGTTTAGCTGTCTACCCCGTAAATGATACATCCGAAGCTAAGCTATGACAGTGTATTCCAATAGACCGTAGAAAAAGAAAACACGGCAACATAATGGGGATTTACTTCTACTGATACAGTGTAGCGTTTTTTAAGTGTATTTGAGGGTAAAAACGCCGCCATTGATAACCGTATTGAGAACGGTACACACAATATAAATGTTAAATGCACAACTTACTAAAATTTGGCCAGTAACATATTTGTTTACGGAACACGTTTTTACAGTGCGGGACCGCGAAGGGTGCTACAGGCGGTCTTTTCAATGTACATATGAAATTATAAGTGCAGTTATATACAATCAGCATAAAGTGCAGCCATTTGCATAGTTCGGGAGAGGAAATTTCATCAAACGTCAGGGATGTGTTGCATAGGGATGAAATCAAGAAATGAAATTTATGGCTGGCCGCAGATAGTCCTGCAGTGAGAGTCGTCGTTTGTCAAAGATCAGACGATTCAGCTGCCTTTTGAACACAGCCATTGTATCAGATGTTACTATTTCACTTGGGAGTGAGTTCCACGGTCCAACAACACGCTGGCCGAAGGTGTAGGCGTGTACGCTCCCGCTTGACTTTGTACGGATGACCGCGCTGGTGACTCATGATCGTGAATCCCAAGAACTCTTCAGATTTGAGCGAACATTCATGCCCGTGGATAATGCGGAATGTCCATAACAGGTCACACGCCATTCGTCTTTAGGATAGGGGAAACAAGTTTAGCTGGATCAGTCTTTCTGGGTATGACAGAGTCCTGAGACCGTCCACCAGTTTTGCGGCCCGTCGTTGCACCAGCTCTATGGCATCACTGTCTTTCTTCATCCAGGGCATCCATGATGGCATTCCGTATTCCAAATGCGGTCTGACGAACTTGCCAAATATCTGCTATCAAACGCCTTCTTAAAGTCAAAGAAGGTGACGTCCCCTGGACGGCCCCCGTCTATGGCCCTTGTCCATTTTTCCTGCGAATAAAGACTGCTTGTAAGACAGAAGTGACCACTACGAAATCCGTGCTGAGTAGCACACAGCAGGTCCCTCTGCTCCAGATACGACATTAAATGTCCTTTAATAAGTCGTTCCATGACCTTGCACAAAATGCAGGTTAAACTAATAAGACGGTAATTTTCGGGCTCCAGCCTGGATCCGCCTTTATAGATTGGAGGAATATGGGCCGTTTTCCATTCCTCCGGCAGTTCGCCTTCTTCCATGGACTTCTGAAATATCATGCACATCGGCTCACACAGTACGTCAGCTAATTCTCGGAGGACAAGCGGATGAATTCTAGAATCTGTGTGTACGCTATATACGACCTTATGGACAAGGTGGCAGTGTGCATTACGAGCGGCGTAAGAATCGACGCCGAGAATCGGCTTTTAGGTCAGTCTACCGATGAGGGCGTAAGTTAGAACTTTTACAGGAAAGGTGATCTTGCTTGTGGTCAACGGCCCCATCCCAGGTCAAACCATTTTGAATATTTAATCGGTCGGAGTATTGAGGCTGTGTACTTTCTGATTAATAGTCTGCGAGGCTGGATGTTGAGCTGATAATGCCACTGTGGATATTCTTAAGTACCTTGATGTCTGGCGATTTCCCGTCATGCAAAATACATGGAATCTACCTTTTCGCTTCTGAAGGGTGTCTAGTGTGAGTCAGTGCAAAATTCAAATAACTGCGCGGTTGTATCTATACGCTGACGACAACTTGGAAACCACGAAGTGACTACCGGAAGACTCAGTCATTGACATATTTTAATAGGTACGGTGAAATTGCATGGCAATTTCAAACTGTTATTTCATGGCTTCCGTCTCTACACCTGAGTGTCACTGAAGGGATAATCAACAGCTCACTTACATGGATGCGTGGGAAACAGGGATCTAGGGTTGTCAGAATAGTACGAATACTGATTGACTGATTTCGGTTAGATCCTGTCTTTTGTAAAATCAAGCCAGGTGGTTGCATAGCCTTGACAACTGTCACTGAGGCAGTTACGTTCGACAAACCGCACATGTTTCGCCACAGTACTGGTGGAATAGGTCCTGTAATGCTTGATCTACTGCCAGACAAGGAGTGAGGCCTTTCAAATAACTTTGGGTCGCGGTGACTGTAAGGTCTGTTTGAGATTCCCTCTGTGCCCTCTGATCTGTGGCCAGTAGACGTTGTCAGTCGGCTAACGGTATTTATCCTACAGTGGTTAGAAGATGCAAAACGTAGGAAGACCACCAATGGAAGAGGGAACTGCCTCGTCAGGTCGCCCTTGCAATGCAATACACCCAAAAAATAACAGAGAGGCCTTCCCACGTGCGGCAAAAATCAAAGCATTGTTCTTTGCGCACGCAGTTCTATGACTGGTGAGCTCTGGTGAGCACGATGTGCATATTTTCTTTTTCACCTGCTCCCGTGAAGCATGGATGCCCGCTTGTTCATAAGGATATGAGGATACCCACCAGCGTCGTTAAAAAAAACTGAACGAAAACAACTAATAGTTTAGTTCCCGTTCAGCTGGCGAAATTTTGTTACTGGGAGCCGCTGAAGTCTTTTAAGTAGTCTACGTGCTGACTCTGGAGTACCTCCGGCATCGCTAACCAGTGACAGCGGACACGAGAGTCCATGATGTACGGTCCCCTATTTCGAACTCATAAGCATCTGACTGAAATCTGCAGTTGCCAAGGTTCATGGCTTAGTAAACCAGTAATTACATAGTGCGTAAGAAGTGGCGGTGGCCTGGCCTTGTGTTCTTAAACTTTGTTAAGCAGCTTCCACAACTGAAAAATTACAACGATGCATCCTAAATGTCAAATTTGTTAAAATGGCGTTTTGCCAACATTTCTTAATAACACCCTGGTTTCCTTTAGTAGTTTGCCAAAATACGTTTCATCTTCTTTACATAACATACTCGACAAATCCAGCAAAACAAAATCCCAAATTTGCGTTTATATGCTAGCATGATGCCTCTTGGGGAGGTGGGAGCTAATACTAGGATTCGGGTACGGTAATTTTCGCAAGACACCCAGCTTCGACAGTAGCATTTGAGATTGTAACACCTCACGACCTGTAAAGGGTTGTTTGAGTGAAGAAGCGCTTTTGGCACTCGGACCCGGGATGGTGGTGGCGTAACTGCGTGCTGGTGAAGGTGGCCGGTGTGCCTTCCTCTCATTACCGTCGACCCCCTTTCCAGCAACTTACTGTTACGCTCGAATCGCTCTCTCTCTCTCTCCCTCTAAGTCGGCACTTCCCTGCAGTTGCCCCACCGGATTCAACAAACCCAGCAAAGCAAAAGATGAAGTTTGTGCTTTCATGTTATCACAATGCCTTTTGGAGAGGTGTGAGCCACTACTAGGATTCGAGCACGATAATTTTCGTAAAGGACACCCAACTTCCACAGTAGCATTTGAGATCTCTAAATAAAGGGCCCCCTTCCAACCGGTACCTCGGTTTTATTCAACTGGAGCAGCTTTCTCCTACTTACCATTTCTGCAGGTGCTTAAAATTGCGCGACAAAAAATCAATAATCACAGGACGGCCACTGAATTGTAGACCTGGAGGAGCTGCCCTGTCTTGACAGATTTTAAACGGTCCCCTGCTGTGTCACGCCCTCTGTTCTGTCCGTACGAAGTGTTTATGTCTCATCTGTAAAAAATGACAACCTTTTTTGAGGGAGAATACACAATCAACAGGGGCCGTATCAAGTGGACATGTCCCCTCCAAAGCATCCCCGATACCAGCCTTCTGAAGAATCTCGTGAAACGACTTGTTTCAAGTAATGAATCTGTCAGAAGGACAGCATACCTGGCTGCCAGAGATTTGATAAAACACAGCAGATCCGATTTTCTCATTAAAAGCCTGCGCCATGGCGGCCTCAGTTCCATGAGAACAGTCTTTTACGAAGCAGATCCTTTCGCCCAACGTTGGAATGGCATCGCGGCCTGCATGAACCTGGTGCAAGATTTGGTCGGGGCAGGATCTGAGGTCAAAACCTATCTACTGTCACGCTGGCAACTTCTTCTGCGTCCACTCAAACTGCAGTATGAGGCTCTCAAAAAAGTCCCAGTCTATGATGATTTAGGTCCGGCGTTAAATAACGAGGCGGCAACACACCAGCACGCCGGCTCGAATGTGAACAATTCTAGCGACTTTCAGGAACACATTCGGGATTTTTATCAAAAGTTAAGGCCTCAAATAGCTGATGATCCCACAAAAAACCTTGATAGGGAGGATGTGTTTGCATTTTCGGAATTTCTACGACATTTGGAGACTATATTTCTGACCGCACAGGATGTGACAGATGAGCCTTCCGTCGAGGAACTATTCCAAGCGAATAAGCTGCTGGACCCTGCTCATAGTAACGTGGTCTTTGAGGAGGGGAAGTTCGAGTATGCAGAAGGAGACATCTTGCCGGGACCTAGACTCGATTACGACCTCGAAGAGGACAGGCTTGAAGGGTATCAGAGAAAGTTGGGTGTATTGCCCTACGCGGAAGACTTTGTTTTTCTATCTGATAACAACTTACGGTCAATTCAGCTGTTCAGTCTCGAGGAGCTACCCGTCATAACGATAGAGAAGAACTCTGCAGCTAATTCAGTGAGTACTGAGAAACCCTTTAGTGGGACGTATCCATCGCTTGCAGAATGTGACCCTCAGAGACCTTCTCACACAAAGCCAGAGGTTTCTTTAGCCACAAAGGCACAGTCTATAGTTAGAACAGCGGTCAAGAACGTTGCTGGTCGGTTGAGCGACCTTGAGCTCGCCAATAACTTGGAGAGGGCCCTATCAGAAGAGGCTGCTTTGACCACGAGAGCGCAGTGCGCTGTCAGGAAGGCACTGGAGAATGTTACCGACACGCTAGGCGATGCCCAACTCTCAGAGAAAGTGGAGAGGGCCATGTCAGCCGAACTTTTTCAAAATAATCCAACGGATCCAAATCCTTCCCTCCAATCAGACATCGGTGATACCGCATCTACAGATGTTTATCAGGCTCCCCTGAGCATTCAGGAGGGGAACCAAGGTACTGGAATCAACTCGCCAGGGTCGCAAACCTCAAGGTCTTCGTTTGCTAGGAAAGGCAGCGGTGCACAGATGCTACAAATTACCAAGTCGAAGGAGACCAACTTCAACAAGCTGACGCCATTGAGCAATTGCAGTGTTGCGATGATGCAGCGCCAGTCAGCCACAGGTCCAGTGTCGAGTGTTACGGCGACTGGAATGGGTGCATCTAGTCCTACAAGCGAGGCCTCATCCTCAGTGGATCAGAAAGGCCCGCTCAAGACTGTACCCACATTCAAGGGTTCTGCGCCTCTCGAGGGCAGACGACGCAAATTCACAAAAAAGCTACCCAAACCCAGCTCCCCGGATTCGGACTTGGAATCCGACAGAGCACAGCCTATTCCATGTTTTCCGAGGAGCAGAGCGGTTGCCGATACTGGCGTCTTCTTAATAAGGCGAACCAGTTCCTGCAGCCGGAACGTCTGCCGACGTTCACTTGAGAGTTCTGCATCTACTGTTAACGCTTTTTGACTGAACGCTACTTTAATAAAAAAAAATCGCGCGTACGTCACGAGAGTCTGCCATCTTCTTCTTTAAGGATAAACTTTAATGGTGGATCAGGGGAATAGAACATGAACATACGGGAATCTTATTAGTTGCGCAATTAAATTGTAAAGGGGTCCCATGGAGTTACTACTGTACAAATTACTTAGAAAATCTCCCATGCCTGAACGTTTGAGAGAGATCCGTAGCCATCCGGTACACAGCGGGCGGGAGAAAAAATAAGATAGCTCCTTTACGGTCCAACATAAGGTCCTCGTTTGGAGCTCGTGCAGGCTAGTTCTGCTATACGCTCCTATCGCGTCCGTGCGACCGTTGACACCGCGCGGCTCAGCATGGCGTTCACAAGCCACAGTCATCCGAACCGGCCACTTACTTCAAAGTCCGACGCGGACACGCCCCCAACCAACTCAATAGGGCTGTTGTCCCAATGGGCACCGGACGCACGCATGGCGTCCGGCTGACAACCTGCCTTACCAACAGATTCCACTGGCAAAGTGCGACTGTTGAGGACGCTCAGTTTTTTAAAACAAAGGTCGACGAGACGGAATTGGTAGGACCGTCTTTTACTCTGGCCTTGTAAGTGCAAGCAGCTCAGACGTCAATGGCGGAAACTGGAAGAGTCAGTCGTTATCTTTGGTCACGGCGCGGGCCGCATACGTGCACCCGAGCCATGTTTGCCAGCAGCGGTCACCACATTGGGGGGGGGGGGGTCTGGGTCACACGCAGCTGGGGCACATCCGCCCGAGAATGGGCATTAGATGGACCAAGAGCAGTATGGGTAGACGGACGCGCATGAGACTACGCAAGTAGGCTAACCCTTATTGGCGTCTATCTTCCCCTCCTCTACAGGGCCTGGTCTGATGTTGGTAGCGGTTAGAGCAATCCATGACCGTGACATCCCTGATGTCAATGTCTATTCTTCTCTTCTTTGCTACTAACCGTTTGTTAGTAACCAGACTTTACTCATATAACCTACCTTTGTCTCTGTACCCCTATTCGCCATTCTTTGTTCATCGTTCATTGTCTACTGTGTTTGTCTCCGCTCGCTTTTAAACCGACCACCACACTGGCGTCATTCGCTGACTGCTCGTCTAATCACCTCGAATGTACGTACACCTTTCAATTTATCCCCCCGCCTTACTAACTCCATCGTGCTCCGCTAATCTTACTGTTAATCGCTATAGAACCACAAATAACCGAGTTATCCGGACTGTCTTCTGACATAGCTTTGACCTCGGGCGCGTCTATTCCGATGAATAAGCCAGCACTGAATCGAGAAAATCTAAAGAATACTAACAATGACTTTAGCTGCTATGCCATTGTTGCGGAACCGGCCACCTGCTCAGACAGTCATCGGGCCTCTGCACAGAAGAAGCATCTCCTACTGTTGTCACTGTTCCTCACTGAGGCTGGCTTTTGGAATGGCGGTGGTTAGGGTACGGCCATTATCCCAGCCCCAACACTCACCATCCTGCGTCCCAGCTACAAACTATCCTGCAAATATAACCACCAAGACAGTCTTTTTTGGTAGGGGGGCGCTCACCGATCGTTCTTACGGAACTCACGCGTTCCGTTGTGCCTTACGGGTCTTTTCTCGAGCCGCACAGCGGCGCATGATAAAGGCTGAATGGCATTGCCAACAAAGGAGACTGCAACGACCATTTCTGGCTTATTAGCCGTCGTCAGCCAGTCATACCCAACCCCGAAGTGCGGAGCACCCGAGGCTGGAACTCGCGACCTGTTAGAAGTCCGCGCCTCTAACCACTGGGCCACGAGCCCGTTGCCCTGTCGGTTTTCGATCGGGAATATACAATGGTAGGGGCGCTCACCGATAGTTCATACAGAACTCACCCATTCCGTTGTGCCTTAAGGGCTCTCTCTCTCGAGTCCAACCAGGAGCCGCACAGCGGCGCATGATATAGACAGTATGTTATTACCGACAAAAGACAAGGGAGACTGGAATGGCCATTTCTGGCTTATTAGCCGTCGTCAGCCAGTCATACCCAACCCCGAAGTGTGGAGCAGCCGAGGCTCGAACTCGCGGTCTGTTAATTAGAAGTCCACGACTCTAACCACTGGGTCACGAGCACGTTGCCCTGTCGATTTCGATCGGGAATATACAATGGTAGGAGGCTGACGACGGCTAATAAGTCAGAAATGGTCGTTGCAGTCTCCCTTGCCTTTGTCGGTAATAACATAGTCTTTTTTGTCCCTCGGGAAAGTCCAAATCATGGCTCTCGTTGCAGTGACTACGCAAACCTGGCCAGCAATTTATCAGTAGAGCGGGTCAAACGTGAGGCCTCGGTAATATCCAGTATCACCTAGGAAAAACATAAGCTCCGGAGCAGTCGGGAGGGCAAGAGAGTATGCAGACAAAATCGGTGCTAAACGAACAAACCACCTGCTCCTGAACTTGAAATACCAGGTAGGCATCAGGCGTCCAGTGGGTCGATTCAGATAAGCAGACTTGACGAAAGATACTTGCGACAAAAAATGGTGATTTTCACTTTGATATTAACTGGTGTGGAGCGACTAACTAGCTCAGAGGTCGAACCCTGGCGGCCTGGTGAGCAAAACAATGCTCTACCCATTAAGTCACAGTGAGGGATGTGCGGAAAGTGGCCGAAGTTCCGGCTAATTGACTAAAGAACAATCATCAAGAACGTAGAGGTGCTTCCCAAACAATGGATCGAAAACTTGAGTCGAACTCAGTAACGTATTCAACGAAGCAGCCTTGTTTAACCAGTTCATAGGTCAGTCCTCACTTCAAAAAGCAGCGTAGAGATCTGTGTATGCAAAAACTGGTTGAGAAAGGCCTTCCGCGAAGCAAATGCATGCCAGACAGGAAACTTCTGACTGCTCCTACAATGATAGCCCGAAAACTGACAGACAAGACTTTTCCTCCGAAGAGACCATTCCCATTAAGGGCAAAGGACGACACGAAATCCTGATTACTTTCCGCTCTTTAACAAAAAACGGGCTAAAGAGCGACAGACAGTGAGGTCGCGAGCTAGATGACGACCTGCTACCCGGAAATTGTCATCAGACCCAATTACGTTTATCGAGTGGTACCCTACACTGCCGGTAGCAGCATTAAAGGGTCGGGGAATGTTATTTTGTCAGGAAGTCAAAAAATCCCATCCCAGTAAAATACAACACCCGGGAGAAGAGAACCTGAACACCAAGCTTCGCAATAAAACATTTCAGATAGGTTTAAGTAAAAGAAGAGGGCTCAAGAACAAGGGTAAAAGGGGCAAAAGTCGGTAAAATACATCGGCGGTTTTGGGAATGATTGTCGTTCATCAGTCGACTATACTGGTTGTTGAGCAGGAAAAAGTCGACTGCAGAATGAGGTGGCAGAGATGGGCGTGGAAGTCTGTTTGTTCGTCGTTACCTCGCAGCCAAACTAGAGAGAGTCTTCTTTATGTGAAGGAATGTAGGACGTTGGGAGCGGTCATCTGACCAACACTGCAGCATCAATTCATAGACGGCCGGGCAACATCCGTCAGGACAGGAAAGTCGTTTGCCAGTTAGCAGACCTTTGATTATCTACACGGACAGGAGATAGACAGAGGAGACTGAAGAAGGGCGAAGCCAGTTTCAGCAAGAGAAGTCCCCCCCCTTCCCCTCGAAGTGAGCTGACAAGTCCAGTGAAAGCCAAATTAGCACTGTAATATCATACTGACAAAGAAGCTCGCGAATAGTTTTGTTTTTTGCAAATCGGCTTCCTGGATGCAGAAGCGAAAGGACTAAGTAGTGCGGGAAATATAGTTGGTAAGGGTTGCTTGTGTGGGCCCCTTGAGAGGATACGGGAACAAGAACGTCCCGTATCCTCCCGTATATTCCATGGAAAGCATGCAGAAAAATATCAATTATTTTACTTATTCGGTAGAAAATCACGTCCTCTCTCGATTTTATACTCGAAGGAAGGGTATACTTTGGTTTAAAAAAAGTTTTCCAATTCCCGAATAATTTTGAACCCGCTTTACCGTCACACTTGGATTCAGGGTGTCCAAACTACAAGGCGTATATTTTCCGCGTATGGAAAACCACACATTTCTCTACGGTAATAAAGGGGGACCATATACGGTTCATAAAATTAAGCAGTGGATTTGATCCACAATGCTAACTTTACAAGTCACATTGGTAAAGACAGAGATATGACGATTTATGAACGGCCATTCCCACGGTATTTAAAAGTCCCACAATTAGAAAGTTGTTTAAAACCGAATCATGCCCCTCCGAATATAAAATTAGAAGACGTAATTATCTACCTAATGAGCAAAAGAATGAATATTTTTATGCATGTTTTGCATGAAATATAATTGAATTTTTAGGGGAATCGAAAATCGATGACAAAAATGCATGCTACTTAAGTAGTCGTTTTTACAGAGTGCAGCTTTTTGCATGCAGCCGGAAGGAAGTTCATCCGAAAGCCGGCATTCCGTGGTAACTGAAACATTATAGAATTATTTTGCAGGCTGACCAGTTTTACAACCCTACCTAATTAATCTTTTCGAAACGAAAACGTATTCCGGAATTTCGGTTGACATTTCATGAGTTAGCCTACCTACTGTCTAAGTAATCCTTACTGCATCATTTCTCCGATTAAGCATCACCGTATTTAACTGTAGCATACCAGCTTGACACAAGTTTACTGATTTTGTTTTAGCAATGGTATATTTGTGAGAATGCGTAGAGAGCGACGCATACGGATTAAAATTCACAAATTTGCAACATAGGGCGCCAACAAAGAACCTGGAAAATGGTTCGAAGCATGTCCTAGTTAAGCAGTAGGACCTGTGAATTGTACGCTATGTGGCTGGACCTAGATTCTGCGAGCTTCTGGAATGTCTTTTGCGTCGATGCAGTACAATTCCTTGGGGGTTATACAACCTTGACGGAGCGAATGTTTCTCCCTTGGTCCAATTACTGGTGGCACATTTGGCACCTGGCAGCAACAACAT